CCCAATAATTACCCAACCTTTAAACTCTTTGGGCTCTTATATAATTTAGTAGTACTCTGAAAGTTTAACCGTTTATTTCCCTGGCTTTTTGGGCAAGGAAGAGAATTTGCAAGCCCCGAACCCCTACGCTGACTCAGTCAGCTTAAAGACCAAAGCAATCCTCCTGAGCCCTGAGCCCCTCAACCCTGAGCCCTAAAACCCAAACCCCAGACCCTAAACTCCTAAACCTGAAAGCCAGGCTCTAAACCAAAAACCCTAAGCCCCAAGCCCTGAACCCGAAGCTCTGAACCCTAAACCCCAAACCCCAAGCCGTAAACCCTAAATCCTAAACCCTAAACCCTCAGCCCAAAAGGGCCCGCAAAAAAAAAAAAAACTCCTGAAGGCCCTAATCACCCCAAACCCGTATCACCTCCTATAGGTCTCCACAACCGCGCGGGCCTCACACCCAGGCCAGGGAGTCTCTTGCGGGGGATCTGTCTGAGTTTAGGGGTTTTAGGGGTTTTAGGTGTTTCGGCGTTTTTCGGGCTTCAAGGGTTTAGGGCTTAGGGTTTAGGGATGTTTAGGGTTTAGGGTCGGGGTTTAGGGGGATCTGTCTGAGCTGAGACTTAGAGTTTCAGGGTCTGAGGTTTTTCAGGTTACGGGTTTGTTGGGGCTTTCAGGGTTTTAGGGCTTAGGGTTTTAGGGTCTAGGGCTCTTAGCGTTCAGGGTTTTAAGGTTTTAGAGTTTAGGGTTTGGGTTCAGGGTCTAGGGTCTATAAGAGATGCGACACGATAAGGGATATACAGAGGGTATCAACACGTATGTATATATATATATATGTAAATAAATAAATAAAGAAACACATAAAGAAATAAATACATAAATAAATAAATAAATATTTGTATATATATATATATCTATATACGTATATATATATATATATATAAAGGCGTGAGTCTCTTGTGGGGAGCTTTGGTCTGGGTTAATCGCTTGGGGTCTGTAGTCTTCAGAGTTCTACAAGAGATCTACAAAGGATTCGTAGGGCATGTTCAAGGTGCCTACGGGTCACACAAGCGGCCTTGATTTCGGTTGCTGTTCAATGTCGACGTCTTCCAAGGACTTATTACAAAAAAAAACCTAAATTCCAAACCCTAAACCGAGCGATTCGCTCACTGTCTTTCTGACCCCTCCCTTGTCTATTGGAAACAGGCCTGAGCTACGCCTTGTCAGAATACCTATAGTCACCACCGTCTCCATTGTTTCTTTGGTTTAGCCACTTATATATTTAGGATTCTATACAGTAACACCAAGAAGGAGCTGCAATGGAGACTATAGGTAGCATCCCTTGTTGCGTTCATGTAAGCGTCCCTTTACCGGCTTCTTTTCGGGGTTCCTTTAAGGTTTAAGGGTTCCTTTAATAGGGGTTCCTGTAAGGCCATTTCGTTGAGAGTCCCTTTACGCTAAGCCCCTAAACCCCTAAACCCCTGAACCCCTATACCTCTAAACACAAAACCCCTAGACACCGAAACCCTAAACCCCTA